TCGCTCGCTCGCTCGCTCGCTCGTCCGCTCTCTCGGACCGACACCTGTTGCGTGTGCGCCTGCCCACATCCGAAAGGCCGAGCGCGGAAAATTCGATCTCGGGGAGAAAGGGAGACTGACGCGGTAAAGGTCAGTGGCGCGCCCCCTCGTTTCGCTTCCTCGAGATTTCCCGGAGCGTAAGCGTAGCGTGGTCCCGGGGGGTCCTTCCCCCGCCGTCACTCGACCGTAATTTGCTCGAGGAACCTTGAAGGTTAGGATAATCACAGTTAGACGGTGCATTTGTAGGTATGTGTATGTGTGTGTATATTATATACACATATATTGTACACACGTAGAATTTGGCGATAGCGTGCACATTTTGGAGCGGTGCATTGCACCGCGCGCGCAGGTGGCGAGCAGGTGGAACGATGGCGATGATGGAGGCGGAGGCGGAAGCGGCATAGTTCCGTGTAATATTATGACGTCGTCGATAGGACGCGGCAGCGTCGTCGTTCTTATTAACTTTCCGCATCGCATATCTGCGATAAGGAAAAATGTGTCATCGCGACCATTATCGGGAGGAGGGGGGGAGGGGCCGAGTGATCGCTCGATATGTAAGATTTGACGGCACGAGTGGCGTAGGTGTGCATAGGTTGGAGGTATCTGGTCCTCGTCGAACAAAGTAACCCCGGGACATCTCGCCGGACGGGGCGAGTCACACCTTCATCTCGTGCGAGCGAGCGAGCGTATGTAAGCGTATGAGCTGCCTCGTGCATATTTCACGTATCTGGTTTGTCAGGTAAAACGTGTTCCCCGCGTCCAATCATGGATACACGGCGTTCGATACGATCTTCTAGGTGCGACGAGCTCAGACTTCTAGAATCCTTGTAGAGTTCTTACTTAATAAACAGGTTTGCGACAGAAACCTGAAAGAATGTGAGATCTAACATGTCGCTTTTAAGCTTTAAGATCTGCAAATGTGTCTATTATTAAAGCTTACGGAGCTTTGGTAAGACATAGAATGATTGTGTACTGACTATCTGATGTTTACTTTGCAGAAGTTTCAAATTGATAAGGATGTCGACTAATCGGGAGGGCGAAACTGCAGTGACTATTCCACTGCAGTACAATGAAGCTGTAAGTTATATTTTATATCCTATCACTGACATTAGTTATCAATTTTATAGATGTATTATTCTGTGCTTTTGAGTATCTTTTCAAAAATGAAGGATATCTTGACAGTTATAAAAATGTCATATTTGTATAAGATAAGTAGTAACCAGTAATATCTATTAATATCTATTAATGAAGATAAAAAAATTCATATAGACATATCCCTCGAAAAGCTTTCATTCCAAATTACAGGATTCTTAAAATATTAGTAGATGAATAAAAGACAAAGATTTCTTGAAATTGTTTAGAATCACTCAAGAATCCTCATTTTGTCCTCTTATTTTGACAAACATTCAATTTGCACTGTTTACTTTGATAATAGTGAACTTTCTAGAAAATGCATTTTTAATATTTCAAGAAGCTTATAATTCAAAATCGAAATTTTTCTAGATATAGATATTTTCTAGATATTTATGAATTTTATTTATGCTTATAAAATAGAATATATTATTAAATTAGAATATATTATTAAAATTTGATCAAATCTTTCTTATATAAATTCCCTTAATAGCATGAAACCTTTGTTTAAAATCTGTTTAAACTTTGCATAAAACAAATAGTCTGAGAATTTAAGATAGTTACTCACTATGTATATTAAAATTAATATATTGGAATATATCTGTTAAGATTTCTCTTTTTCTCTCTCTTTTTTTTTTTATGTTTTACTTGTTTTCACTTGTAAGCTTAGCTTTTCTTACAAATGACTCATGAAACTAGCTCAAAACTATGATTCATTTATAAGGAAAAATACATGTATTTCTGTTATTGATTCTATACCACTGATTATTGTTGGCAACAAATGATATGAGTTTGATAAATTGTAAATTAAAGATCTTTGTATTCATAAATATTAACATATGTTTATTAATTATTGTTTACAGCATTGGAAAGCTATTTTTGAAAAATATGATCTCGATGGAGATGGAAAAATATCACTGCAAGAATTAAAAGCGATGATACGCGGGCCAGATTTTTCCAAGGACATCCCTGCCGGGGTAGTCCGCACGATAATGCGTAAGGCAGATCTGGATGAATCTGGCTATTTGGAGTATCCAGAATTCATAGCAATGGTTAGTCAATTCTCAATTCTTAACGAGAATATGGAAATTCAAATCATTTTCTCTTTAGTTAGTAAAAGATACATTTTGAAGGTCCTTATTTACTAATACCTCACATTGTGATCTTTTTCTTATTTAGATTCATAGAAAGGACATGCAGGGTATATTTGGACACCTCGTGCAACGTTACGTGCACTCTGTGATACCTCAACGACCAAGCCGCGCGATGAGACAATCTTCCATGGGTTCGAGGTATTATCCCCAGCGACAAATCAGTATTCTAATGCACGCACCACCTTCTCCTCTTCCCTCGAGCTTTGGTGATTCTCCTCAGACTGCTATGATTAGGGCGAAAAGATGCCGTTCAGCACGTTTTACTGATCTACAGCAACAAACAAGTACAATAACGGAATCTTCTCTCTACTCTAGCGATTATCCAGATGGGCTGTACGAAGAAGAGTACAGCTGTCGACCACCGGCCATAGCAATGATTATCATATCGATAATAGAAATCATTTTGTTCATGTATGATGTGATTAAGCACAAATCTCTTTCTGTAGAGGGACCAGCGGCTACATTATTTATTTATAATCCGCACAAGAGGTATCAAGCCTGGCGGTATCTAACGTACATGTTTGTGCATGTCGGGTACGTATCATAATCTCGTTTTATAATTAAATGTATTAAAATTCATTAGATGAATATTTTGATATGCTCATGAATTCTTTTTCTTTTTTTATTCCATAGAGTCTTTCATTTGGTCGTTAATCTATTGGTACAAATTATGTTGGGCATTCCTCTGGAGATGGTTCATAAATGGTGGAGAGTATTGATTATATACTTAGCCGGAGTACTAGCTGGTTCTCTAGGTACATCCGTTTCGGATCCAACGGTTTATCTGGCTGGTGCTTCGGGCGGAGTATATGCATTAATTACTGCACACGTGGCGACTATAATAATGAACTGGTCGCAAATGGAATTTGCTGTATTGCAACTATTAGTCTTTCTCGTTGTAACAAGCGTTGATGTCGGTCAAGCTGTATACAATCGTTACGTGCTCGATACGAACGACCAGATCGGCTACGTTGCTCATTTGGCCGGTGCTGTGGCAGGTCTTTTAGTGGGCATAAATGTCCTCCGAAATCTCGAGGTACAAACTTGGGAAAAGGTTGTTTGGTGGGCTAGTATGTTTACTTACACAGGTCTCATGACTGCAGCTATTTTGTGGAATGTATTGTACACCTCGTATTACGAATGATGATAAATGAAATATCGATATTCGATCTGTTCGAATAACACGTATATATATATTGATAAAGATAAATGTATTATTAAAGAGAGAAAACTTGCCTTGAAAAGATTATAGGTATATGCATAAATTTGCTATATATTTTTATATATTAGTTGATATAAAATATACTCGTATTATTTTATATTAATATAAATTTAATATAAAATAATAAGTATAATTATTATTATATATTTTGTATTAATAGAGATAATTAAAATAACATAAATTTCTAGAATCGAACAAATAGCAAGTATTTTCATACAGACTCTATCGAGAAGAGGAATTAAGGTTTACAGTTTTGCATCAATCACTAACCGTAAATATATTAAGTAATATTAAACGCAGTATTTTTTTTTTTAAGTACATATTTTTGAAAGCAAGTTGAACAATAAGATGCTGTGATACTTTTGCTATACGTATTAAGTTTATGCAATTTGCAAGTTTGGCAAATTGAATGACATTAAAATTATGCGCGGAATATTAATATTTTTATTTTAGAACTTATTGCCTCATTATTTGAAAATGCGTAAAAAAACTACCTCTATCAGTATGCACAATAATCTATTGTGTACATGAAACGTCAATTAATCATTCAACAATACTTCATGTATTTTACAAGCACAGATATATATGTGTTTTGTCTTTAATAATCTGAATAACGTATAGAAAATCTAAAAAAATCTAAAAAACTATAATATGAAACTAATAAAATGTGAATTGCTAATAAAATCTAATAATAAAATCTATTATTAGATTTTAATTAATATATTGTTATAGATTTCAGTAATTTTCTACATATGATATAGGTTTTAGTTTTTTTTTCATCATTCTGGGTTATTTAAAATCTAAATAAGATAAAATTGAAAGCAGATGATTTGTAAATATTATTAAATAAATATCTGTCACAGATATAGAAAAAATTCGTAGTGCACAGCTGAATTTATATATATTATAGAAATAAAAAGGAGACTAAAACTTTTGCATTTAATATATATATATATATATATATATATAAAATTACTATGATTTATAATAATGTATGTGTATGTATATATAAAAATTATCATTAATGCTTTCTTATTTAATTTGAAAATGCTTTGATGAAAATGAAAAATTTCAGATTTAAATGAGAAGAACATGTATAATTCATAATTAATACGTGCTCCGCGTTTTAAAGGTACAAATACAATACAAAACTGCGTGTATTTTGCCTAGATAAGCAATTTTTTTTTCGTGAAATATCTTAATAGAACATTCGTACATCATATGAATTGTTATAAATTGTATTACAGACATTAACATGATGCTATGCTTACAGATACAAAATATGTGAACATTTTTGGACAATTTATTTATTTTATTTTAAATTTGTGAATAATATATACTTGTACAACATATTCTTTATTTCACGTACCTGATTTGCAAAGCACGGATATATTAATTTATTAAATATATGAATTTAAAAAAAAATATATATATATGTATAACATGAAAGAAAAACAGGAAAAGTTTGGCTTTGTAATTTGTGTTCACAATATGCATATAATTATATCAAGCAATATCAGTTATAAATAATCAAGATGAAAGTTTATACTATTGTATTACTTTTGATTAGACTGATAAGAAATATATTATATATTCTAATGTGTGTTATATATTCTAATGTTTGTTTGAAAAGATAAGATCTATAGCTCATTCTGGAAAATTAACTATTTTTGACCTGTTGTATGCAACAGACATGGCAGCTATCAATTATAATAACTTTATTTAGACAATAATTTATATATAAGTTTTAAGATTTTTGTATTTTACTTAATTAAGACAATGCAACCGTCTTTTGCTGAGTGAAAAGAATTGTTTCTATTAATTTATAAAGTTTTAAGTCAAGGCTGCTATTTTAAGTCTAGAATGCTTAAAACTAAAAAGATGAACTATAATTAATTTATGATGTAATTATAAATGTGTTATTTATATATGCGCATATATAATTACATAATTTATATTAATAACTATTATGCAGGATGATTCTTAATTATATGTACTTTAGGTGATTGGTTTAGAATCCAAAACAAAAAAAAGGGACTGAATTAAGTTGTATAAACATATACTTTAATTGATATTGAAATAATTGGAAGACAAAACATATTTATTAAAATCCTGATAAAATATGATTTAACTTACCTGATTTTTTAATTGTACTCTTTATTTCGTTCTGAATATTATTTATTATGCTCGATTATAATATCGATGACCTATAAGAAATTCCTATAAAAAAAATTGATTCTATAAAATATATATAGTTTTAGTTAAGCATCCGCGATAATGTTATGTAAAATTTTATATCTATGTCTCATCTATTAATGCGACGCGCATATTTTGCCACGTATAAGTGCCTTGGATGTACTCCTTATTGTACAATATTTTGTATAAAAATAATACATATGAGCTTTTATTGACGTGGAGGGATGCGAAATGAAGATATCCCGTTTTCAAGATAAATATAAATTCATATAGACTTAAGTAATATTTTATGATCGATTTTAACGAAAAAATAAACATTTATTATCGTTCAACGAAGAGACGGAATGTCCGTAATGTATATTTTATATGCGCTTTGTACAAAATAAAATCATTAAAAAATAAATGAGTTTGATATAATTATCATCTTGTAGCCGGATATATACGTATCTTAAGTTGAAGTGTCTTCTCGCTTCTCAATTAAATTTCCCGAAAATAAACGTTTATAACAAAATCCATTTAATCAGAAAGAAGAAATTAATTTTTCGTTTAAATTTATTTCTCGCACACCGTATTTTATTAAAGGTTTCGTCTTTTTTTTTTTTTTCAACAATAACGTATTCTCTTTCGAGAGGAATAATAATACGGAATGAAATCAAAAGGCAAAAGCGAGGAGATGCTCCTTATTATAACGGAGGTGATTTTTATTTCAACAAAAATAACAATTTACATTGAACTGTTTTGATAATAATATTATCGTGTATGCTACATCTGTAGTTTTACTGTAGGCGTGGTATGCTCTCGCTCGCTATATAATTAATTTTCAGTTACTTTGTTTTGTAATTAGTCGCATTAACAGAGCGTGGTTTTTTCGTGGATAATAATCACGTTCTCGTAGATAGAGTCTTTCGCTTCTTTCCTCGTCGTATTTCTTTTCCCCCTTCTCACGTCTTTTCTTTTTTTTTTTCTTCTTTACCTTTTTATCTGGGCTCGACAATTCTGCGATCGCGCCGTATGCATTTATTATTATTATTATTTTTTTTTATTAATATTAATATTATTATATTATTATGATACAACAATCGGGAGGGAGCTGTGTGTACCTCGGCGTTATCATATCACTATGTACAGGCTTGTCGTCTTCCGCGTCTTACGTCGTAGGGATCGAACGATAGACACACCGAAACAAATTAATAGATCATCTTTCCTCGACGTATTACAAATGAGTGTAGGTACATATACACGTGACATTCGCAAGCTTTCATGTCGCCTAAAACTCTAATCTAGATGATACTCGTATCGGCTGCAGCGATAAATCTCGCTTCGTCTTTTCTTCGCTGCGAAAAACGCATCTCTCTCTATCTCTCTCTCTCTCTCTCTCTATTGTTCTCCGAGATGTCGTCGGTGTTTCACTCTCGCATTTCTTATGTTTATTATATGTTACAGTACTGCATCGTACCTGAGATTCCTCATACACACACACAGACGATTTCCCTCGAAAAGTCGAATGCAATCGGAGATTTCGCGGGAACAACCAATCCAAATCATTTTTTTTTTTTCAAATACTCATTGCAGAAGGTTGATTCAAATTTTATTTTCTAGACTTTGATCGTTATATGATCAATGTCAATAGCAATAATCACCGTTAAATTATATATATAATAGAAAAAAATTATTCGGAGTTACAATTATAGTATCATGTTATACAATTACATTATACACAGATTTTATACGTACATTACATATAATTGCGTAACAGATATATAATTCTAATTAAACGGATATAATAATTTCGATGGTCTCAATAAATATATAATAACTTTTTTTAAAAAAACGATTAGTTTGTTATTGCGTCGCAAAGTTTTCTCGAGAGTGCTTAAGGAAAGAAAAATGAATTGGATCGCTGTTACACACCGAATTTTGTCCCTTCGATCTGCGAGAGGGGGATGAGACGGTTCGTTGAGAAATGCGAAAAATCGACCCATACGAAAGACCCGACACCCCGAAGATCTCTCTCTCTCTCTCTCTCTCTCTCTTGAAGATACGTACCGACGAAAGGGAGGTTCACTGTACGTTCGCTAAATGTCAAACACATTGTATGTACACGTCGAATTTCTCTTCTCTCCGACAGAACGGGGGAGGGAGGGAAGGGGGGAGGGGGGAAGGGGATTTAATTCCTCACTATCCTCTGTGTGTATGTGTCCGTGTCCTTGTGTGTTTTGCGCTTTATTATGTATTATTTTATGTTACACGCAGACCCGATCTTTTTATACACGCGGGCGTTGAAAGTTGCTCCTGAAGTCAAGGCGTACCTCGATCGCGCGAGTAATTTCGTCCAGAGTGGTGGCGGCTCTTCCCGGCAGGGTTGCGACGAATATCTCTACGAGTTTAAATATATGGAATATATAAATGAATGCAAGAAATTTGCGGAGAACAGAGACGTGTGAAGGAAATGTGATGCTAGAGAGAGACGTTCTGAAGGTACGCACAGAGTTCTCGTGTTATATATTTTACATTCTCTACTAATCGTTTAGACGTTTTGCTCTCGACGTTTCCCTTCGTGTGCCGGACTTGGACCTCGCACCACTCTCGCGCCTCATCGACGACGACGGGGGAACGATCGCTAAACGCGGGCTCTGTGTGTCGCTCAGGTACTATACGAGGAGGAGAAACGTGACGCCGAGGACAAGTCTTCTAAGTATGAAGTACGAAGATAGAGCCACGGCTGTCGCGTTGTTGTATGTTCGCAAATGTTATGCATGCCTCAGGCTAACTAGATTAATTTGCTTCAGTTGTGTGATTGCATTTGTGTTTGTGTGTGTGTATGTGTGTGTGTGTGTCTATACAATTTACATATCCATCTTCGTTAATATTCTGGAAGCATTCGACGGTTTTGTCAGGACCTCAACAGTTATTTGTACAATGAAGAATCCCTGGAGACGCGCGCCTCCGCGACAGGTTGCAGTGTTCCGCGGCACCCACCGATTCTCTTCGCCATGAGAAAGACCAAGAAACGATCGAGTTATGTAAACTGAGAAGAAATTTAAATATTATAAAAAAAATCGTTTACAAAGTTTCAATGTAATATTTAATCGAAGCATACGTTAACATATAATTAAAACGCATATGATAAATTAATACTTTTAAGGCTTGATCTTTCGCCGCAGCAATATTGATTTATCATCATCATAGGCGAGAAAAGATATGCAGCAATTTCATTGCGATGTATAATTTTATTTCTTAATTTTCCCTCAAAAACATAATAATTCTGTAAACTTGTAAAATGTACGGAAAAACTGAGACATCTATTCGATCTATTATCCGTGAAATAAGGGATTATTCTTCAGCCATGCTTAATTATCATGTTACTTGAGTATAGCTGAAAAATAATTTGTTATTTCACTATTCTACATTTCTACATGACAAATCGGACAAATGTCTCAGTTTTCCATACATTTTATAAGTTTTAGAATCACAAAATTATATTTTTAAAAGGAAACTAAAAAATAAAGCTATACATCCCAAAAATTATTATATGTCATCTATGATGTCATATAAAATCGATATCGAAACAACCGAGCTTTTTAAAGTGATAAAAAGTGAATAAAAAAAAATAATATAACTTATTAAATCATAATAATCATAAATCGCAATTATATGTTACATATTAAATTAATTTGTATAAGAATGCGATTTAGCATATTTTATACAAACAACAGATTTTCTTCTAAAAGTTTTTAAATGTGCTTTCTCATTTATCTAATCAATCATATAATTCCATTGTTTCTAGGCAAAGGCTAAAAAGAACCGACGAGTTTCACATCACAAACTGCTCTTATTAAGCGAGACGCTTAGGGAAGATGAGAATAAGAAATTAAAAGGAAACAAAACGAAAAGAAGATAAATTAAAAAGAGAGTAATATCTGTCAGGATATTCTTACCGAGGATATTCTTGCGGATATCGAGGATATGAAGAGGAAGCGAAAATACAAAATGAACGAGGGCTAATCGTCTGATCGCTGGCGTGCGAAGATAGGCAGTCATCTTTATACAGCGAATCTCTGTAGAGTCTTGATATCTCAGTCGTACAAAACGACACGGAATACATTTAATCGAGGTGCTATCTGGCGGAAGCGATGACTCACGACGCGGTGATTGAAAGAAGTAACTCTCACGGTGACGTTTGAAGAATTCGTCGAGTGTCACAGTGGCGAAAGAATAAGACGCAGATCGACAAAATAGTTGAAAGCTACAAATATAAAATTAGGCTGTA